TTGTGGAAAGATGTTTATCTCTTAAAATAACACATTTATCAATGAACTTATCCTTTTGTTACCCTTTTGTCAACAAAATATCCTAGTTATTCAATATATATACATAAATCATGACTCATATATCAAACTATTACTTTTTTTTATTCCAAATGGATTAGATGATTATTTATTTAGATTTATACTTAAAATACCACATGAATTACATATCGATCAGTGAAAGCATGATTTTTTTTTTTTTGAATAATTCCCTAAACCACCAAATTTTAAGTTCGAATTTCCAGCCTCACACTTGGGCTCAATTTATATTTGTAGGTACATAAAATTGTAAAATTAAAGTGAGGTATGTTTCTCTGTAAGTTTTGCTTGAAGTTTGTTGCTTGCATTAATTACATCCAGAAGGGCGGCACGAGAGGGTGGGCAGCTCTCCTTCATTGAAATTCTTGTTGAACTCATAATAGAAGGGACCCCAAATAATAAGGCGTGTGCTTGCGAAGTTGCGATCAGTTCTTCTTGAACTTAGTTCAAACAATTCATCCCACTTACTTGTTGCCCTTCAGTATGGTGTTTATGATCTTTTTGTAGAAATCTCAGAGAGTGGAACCAATAGGCTAAATTTTATAAGCAAAATCTATGAAAAGAATTTCTTTAAAAAAAAAAAAAAAAAAACTTATAAGCGACAAACACATATAATTAATTTCACTTTCCTTTACATTTTTTGGAGTCATAGGTCTTCCCTCGTGTTGATGACTATAAATAGTGATAATACTAATTCAAGTATTCAACATTTAGTTTAGGAAACCGTCCATCCAACCCAGACCAAATCTTTTGTCGTTTTATTCATTCTTTGTATATGATCATTGTGTTGCAATTGACACTTGACATCTGACATCGGACAAGTTATTATCTATGCTAATTACTTCACTTTTGGGAATTCAATTTCATGTGAAAATCAAGCACAAGTCAAATAAGCCGGCTTGCTTGCATTCCAAATTCTCAATTACACGTAGATTGGAATGTGAAATAAAAATAATTTTTAAAGCATATATG